CATTATTATAATTATTTGATGTTGAGATGTTGATTGGCTATAACATTTTATTGCAATCCCAATTTTACATAGCAAATACCGGTCGGGTACTATACAAATAAAGAAAAACTATATTAATAATGTAAACACGGAAGTATAGAATTAATTAATATAATTAATGGTTTTTTAATAAAAATCACAATTACCCTTTCATTTCGCTGTGAAACTATAGTCCTTCAAGCAGGAGTTGACCTTCAGCTGCTCTATAAATCCCTCCATAGATTTGGAGTGCCCTTGCACTGGTTTTTCATCCGGTGGAGCATGTAAAGGCCAGCTGCGGCCAACAACGTTAGAGTACTTTGAAAAAAATACTATTGTTCTAAACATTTCATTCATAGCGTTTAATATTTTTAATATAATTTTGAATTACTTCTTGCCTATAAATTACATGATTCTGAATTTTATTCAAATATTTAAGGCAAGATACATAGGCAATCGGCAGTCTATATGTACATAGCGTCGTGACGAGATAATGTCTAAGGCGTGTGCACAACACAATGATGAGTTAGCTTACTTTAATAGTGTTAATATTCAACACATTTATGTTCTGTTAAGGTCGAGTGATATTAACAAAACATCCATATATATATTATATCAATATTTCCATCCATATATATATTATACTAATGTTGCGATATTATCGATATTTTACATAATCGTTAATTTTTAATAATTCTTGTAATTGTACTTGTAACACGTGTAATTATGATGTTCCTTATAGATTATCCTTACATATATTATATATTTTAAGTGTATTATGTCATTTTGTTCTTATAAATTGTAGTATATAGTGATAAAATTATTACGTGTATATGGTCAAATATTTTTAGATTTGGTTTATAAGAATTCTGTTGATGTAAAGAATCGTGGTTAATTTAAAATTAATTGTACTAATTAATCGTATAAAGCGACTATTCTCAGTGTCTAACTGGATATTAAAAAAAGCAATCCTTGTCAAAATAGTCAGCGGCCGACCTTCAAAAACTCGTTTATAAGTGAACTAAAATAAAACAGAGTCAGTGAATCGTTAGCACCTGTTATCATTGAAGCATATGTCTTGTACGGATTTCCTTATGGGTCCTATCATGCGTATGGCCGCATCCGTTTACATCCGTGAATCCGAGTTTGCGCGTGAATGGATACACGGGTGCCGGATACTGCATTTACACACAGATAGACATGTTATGTCAGCACTTACTCATTCGGATGTGGAAAGCTTTGCGTGTATACGTCAACATCATTGCATTTCTAATAATTATCAACTAACTAGTTGACTGAACTAATTCTGCGGCTTCAATCAATCAACTAAAGTTTAAAACTTTAAATGTCAGGGCTATATAACTTGTTAGAATACCTCAGTGGACACCGCATACAAATGAGCTAAGTCGGGATTTTATTAATTTCTTCTTTAAAAAGACAAAGAGAATTTCTATGATTAGCTCACAGACAAACAGATAAACAGTACCTATTGTATCTTAAATTAAAAGATAATCTATATTATTTTTATATACAAAGCTAGATCTATGTTATTCAAGTCATGTTAACATATTTACACTTTCTATTTGATTTTATTAGTCAAATAGAAATTGGTTCATATACGTCGATCGGCACAGACTAAAATTTGCATGAAATAAATAAATTTTGTATAACATATGAACTAAAAATAGTAATAAAATAATATATTACATAAATTCATCTCGATTTAGATGTCATCCCGATTATAATCAGTAAAAGTAAGCCTGCCTCTATCCACCATTATTTTCTTTAGATAAAATTCATTATCGTTCTTTGTGTATAACAAAAAACAATACATTAGATGATCTTAACAAGATTACGATGAGGCCACTGCACTAATTTTGAATAATAATAAATAAACATTAAAAGCATATATATATAGTAATAGGTAAACCTATAACGTTATTAGACTTTTAATGGTGTATAAATTGTATAACTATTAAGTTATGGACTATGCACATATTTAACAAAATGTTTTAGTATATTTAGTATCTAGTTGGTTACAGATAAAATTAAGTTTAATGTAATGTCTTCTTCATATTCAAAATGTAATGTTTAATGAAATAGGTAACTATGTATCTCGCTGATCTATTTCACTTATCTATTCTTTTGTGAACTCTCACGATACAGGTTCGGTTAGTACGAGGTTCAAGGAATAACAACTGAAATGCACTAGTACGTATTTATGTTTTCAAATAAATAACGACGGCCTCGGTGTGGTGGTCTAGCGATTTAGCACAACGCTTTACTTCCGATGTCGCGGGTTTGATTCCTCACACCGTGCAAACATTTGTACTCTTGATTATGATTGTTTGTATCGGTCTGGGTGTTTCCTGTGTATGTATATATTTACAAAAGAAATATCTAAGTATTAATATAGTTGTCTAGTGCCCATAACGTAAGCTCTGGTTACCGTGGGACTAGATAGCGCTGTTCCAGTATTTTTTTTAAATTTGTAATTAAAAAGTCACTATAAATAACAAACAAACACACCTGTATCTAGCAGGTACACCAAGCATATAGTACAAAGTCTTTTACGGCTATCTTTTACTTAAAAAAAAAAGAAAATGAAGTTGCTGCTGTGTTGCTGGTTACATCTCATTATTATGTATAGGAGCACTAATTGCGTCATTCCATGAAGTATTCGTAACACAACAATCATTAATTCAACGTTTATCAAGCGTGTTGTCGGGCGCGTTGGACCGCACACCGGTCTCCCTCGGTGTTTTTACGTCCTTTGCCTAACCTACATACGAACACACGCACCCATGAGGTCATGAGATATTAAGGATGTGACATACTACTTAAATAATCGATTGTTAATATATTTTAATCGATTTTTCTGAAAATGATCAGATTATCAAAATTTTGTTATTAGGACTTCTTGTCTTGTTAGGTTTTTTAGGCTGGGTCGGTTGAAAGAAAATCATCTATGACAATAAGATCAATAAGATTAATTAGCGATTTATTAGAATACTAGCTACTCGCCCCGGCTTTGCTCGGTTGTACATGTTTATATGTATTATAATAAACATTCCTCTTCAATCACTCTATCTATTAAAAACATCGCTTCAAAATCCGTTGTGTAGTTTTAAAGATTTAAGCATACATGTAATGATTAAAATACTTTTTATATCGACTTTTCTAATGAATTATAATCGATTTTTCGGTAATCGATTATTATTCACATCCCTAGCCAGTTTCAGGTCGTTGCTAATAAAAAGCTCATATGTGCAACTAATCCAACACGTTTACGCACTAATACATGGAGACTAGGGTTCTTAGGATTAGAGATTAGTGTAATATTAAGGACTTCATTATTATTACCCTCTCAAATCAGTCAGATCGATCTCCATCCTAAATCCCCTGAATTTTTGAATAGTTAGTTATAAAAAATCTGGCTTACGCAACTTTATTAAAATAACCTTTTTTATGTCAAAAAGCTAAGATACCAAATTTACAGAAAGTAAATCTGTACGTATGTCCATTACAAATGAAGACGATGGTTATTTAATACACTAATGTTTTTCTCACGTTCAAATATCTTTGTAGTACAAACGTGTTGCAGCGATATTTCCAAATTGGCACTTCTTTTTATATCGTACCATATGAACTTAAACTCTAATACTATACCGTATAAAGCCTACAATTGTTTAACAGTAAAAATTGACATCACTATAATCTCGGCATCTCGTCTTTAATCGACGAAGCTTCGATGACAGTTATATCGGTGCGGATTGATTCGGCACGTTCAAGAAATTTTTGTTACAATCAATCTTCATTTTTATATTATAGCATGTCAAGCGATTTTATGCTTTACTGTCTTGTATAGCAAAATTTATAAGGAAATTATCCATATCTAATGACTTGACCTGAGGGAATACAGGCATACAATCCTACTGACCTTGCGCCACTTATCGTAGATCGTGTAGTCTTAATAATAACCGCTATTTTGCTGATGGGACGTGCTTGTTCTCTTTAAATTCGTTGCAGTGAGTTTAAAATAGTTGCAGTAACATGACACTCAAATTCTACATTTCTATTTGTTAAATTGTGTACTTTTTCTTTAATATTTCGGCCAGATAAATGTTAAGACCTACGACTTCTTTAGAACTGCTTATGATGTGATGAGCTACTTAATCTCTTTTATTTTTTTTTTGTGTTCAGTCATTTATATCATTTCCCAGAATTTGCATGGAATCATACCTATTTACACTTTCTTCAGTTCTTTCAGAAAAAATGTAAAACTCCTTGTTTTCTGTTTTGAAATTTATTTCTATCAGTATCAGTAAAAACAATAATCAAAGCTGATCCATAATAAATGAAAATATGATACAAAAAATATCGGCCGATTTGAAGACCTTCTCTACTTTGAAGGGTAAAACATGGAAAAAGTTGCTAATGAGATAGCGACTGGGGTAAATTATTTTAATAATATTTGCCTTATTACTCAATAAGTATTGCATCAACCAATCAATGCTAACTGTGACAAAGCAGGATGCATTGGTCAATGACATGATTATGAACATCAGACCTTACATGTAGCATATATTAGTATTCATGCCATATGGTGTCTCGTGGATGTTCGTGATCTTGATTATTTATGCAGTAAATATAATCTGTATATTTATGGATTGTGTGAAAGATGATATGAATAAAAGAAGAGTATGTTCAGATATGACGACCGATAGAGAGCAGTGGAAGAGAATAACACACTGACCGACCGCCGACCCCAAATAATGGGATAAAAACAAGGGAATAATGATTTATGTTTTGTATGTTTTTCTTTTATTTAACTGGAATTGCAAACATGTAAAGCAGCATTGACAATACAATTCGTAGGTGGTGATTTAGTGGTGGTGAAGTCCTTCTTTTAAATATGCATAATTTGATATTGAAAATCTTTTTTTAATGTAGCGTTATTAACTTAAAGTTTTTCATTACAGGTAAAATAACGAGTGAAGATGAAGATGTAGTACTACCTAAAGCAACGTCCAATGTAGAACTCACTACTACATTGCCACTAACTACAACTACGGAGGTACCGACAAGGTCTACAATTAGAATCGATGTATCTACTGCTAACAAAACAGAAGTAGATGTGACTACAGTGGATACAGATACTACAGAATCAATTAAACCTAAGCCTAGATTACTTAATTTAAATGTAGATGATTTACAAAGCTTTGCAAATGCATTGCATAATCAAACCCATGAAATTGATCACAAGAAACATTTAAGTGATTTAAGCGATGTTAATTTAGATGCCGATGAAGATGATGAGCCTTCAAGAATATCAGGCAATGAATCAAAGAATAATAATATACCTGATAAATTCTTTAGTAACCTCCAAGCACCATTTCACCCCTTGCTGACTGCAGATAAAGGATCTGATGAAATAGAAACCTGTAAAGAAAATGAAGTAACATACAAGGTATTTATTCCAATAATAATAATAAGAAAAATGTTACTGGCGCAAAGATCCTTGGTAAAAAGAAAATAGCAATTTTTCTAAATCCTTTTCTTAATAGTATTTTATGACTATTCTAAAGTGCTTATACTAAGTTTCTATGAATAAAGAAAATTATTATTTCTATAATTTTAGATCGGTGAACGAATAGACCGGGGTTGTGAAGAAACATGTGAATGCACTTCAGGAGGGGTATTCGAATGCTCCCCAAGGTGTAAACATCCATATATTCGTCGCGGTAGACGACTCAATGATCCATTGTGTTTTGAATCTCCAGTTGATGACTGTTGTTCTATAATCGCTTGTGCTACTGGAAACGGAGGTCAGTTCTACTTCACTTTTTTATTTTGCTATAATTGGTCAGTGAATACGGTACTTTAAGGACAATGAAAAGCAACAGACATCACAACATTATGTAACGTCATCAGCTTATGCGTTGTCATTCTGAAAGATAAGGTGGAATTATAGGGTATGGAGGCATACCTTATAATTTCACTGTTACTTTTCAAGAAAAATACTGCTTACAAGCAAGGTGGATAGTGGCACACGTAGACGCCGTTGTACACATCGTAAAATATGAAAACTAAGAATAAATTAATTACCTTCCAATTATAATTAAATTCTTTTAAGTACTGCTATTTTTATTGTAATTAGTACCAACGACCAGACCCTGCTTCGCATATGTTTTTAACAAAAATGCATATATTATACATACTCTTCGATATTGATGTCCTCTTTAAAACTGTAGTACACTTTGTTTTATTCTGAATAATTTTCGCAGCGTACGCCATATATGTCTTTGTTGTTTTTATCATATATTGTTTAATAATTAACTCAGCTAATGATAATGATATTGACAATAATATTAATTAATTTTAGAGAAACCAACAAGATTGGAGGTATGCCGCTACGGTAATGACACGTACCCAGTGGGTTCTAAATGGAACATTGGGTGTGAACAATCTTGCGTATGTGAACGTAACTCCGTCGTCACCTGCAAACCAAGGTAAATCTAAGGTTCAGTTCAAAAGGTCTTTATATAAATAAGTTACCTATGTTTTACATGCCATTAAATATAATGGTTCGACATAATACAGAATAATAGTTATATTATAGACCTGTTCTGGTTTAAGTTGTTAACAATATCTAGATTCAACCGTTTTCAAAAACTTTTTATTAAATTGTGTTTTTTATGTATGTTATTTTCCTAAAAACTGTTTTATTTGCGTGCACCGATTTGATAAGACCGTTTTGATTAAAAGTTCGTGCTCCTCGTGTGGTCCCATATAATTACAATAAATCGGTTCATTTAGAACAAAAATCTGTGCTAATATACTACAATGTCTAAAACAAAATTGTGCTATTGTTATAGATAATGTTATACTTGAAATGTTTTAGATGCAATCCAATTCCACCATCAGACAAATGCATAAACGTACAGGACCCTAAAGACGCGTGCTGTGAAGTGCAAGTTTGCGATGTGTCTCAAGATGTGCACGAAGAGCCTGTCGATAATGTCACCAGTTCCACCACAGCCAGCACCTTGCAAGTAAGCCACCTCTATTATAAAGGCAATGCAAGTATGCATACATGCCGTTACGATTTTTATCCAGATAGTAGATAACTGTCAATTGTCGGTGTTGTGGCAAAACAAGTCTTGACATGAGTATTATTGAGATTAAATTAATCCAAGAGATAGTTTAATTTCCAAGTTTCTTTCACCGGAGATCAAAATATTCAGTTACAATATAATTTTTAATTCTTCAGTGGCCCAGACAGACTTTAAGTCACACTTCTTGAGAGATATTTAGGGACCACTAGGTCACAACGCCATTAAATAATATATACATTAAAATTAATAAAATGTATATAAATAGTTATTGCCATAATTGTAACATGATGATGTGTTATAATCATGCTATTCATTAATATAATCGACAGTTGTTACTTATCATCAGGTAGATATATGGAGGCAGGTTCTAATAAATACTAAAATTGAGAATAATTGTATTTTAAAAAAATATGTACATAGTTATAAAACACTATAATGGTAGAAATATATAAATATTTTTATTTACCATTGCTTTAATTTATCTGAGATTATATTACCAGTAATAAATAAATAGAATTCATGCATTTATTTATAATAAAGGCAGGTGTATTTGATATACACTTTCTACAATATGTGCTCATTACAATTTCAGATGGCTAAAGAGACAGAAGAAACAGAGAAACACAAAGCTAAGTCAACAATGAGACCACTTGTGCTAGTTGAGCCAATCGGCTCAGTGAAAGTCTTACAAAATAATACTGTACAAGTTAATTTGATGCATATGAATAATAGTGAAGACCCCATTCATTTATTACTTAGCAGTGATGGTGGACAAACATTTAAGGATGTAGAACTTAAATACTCTAACCTCATTTTGAATTTAGAGGGAGGCAAAGATTATGTACTTAAAACAAAAGAAACAGACACTAAATTTAATTTTACTATTACTGCTACTGATAATGTAGCAAATGAAGTACCCACAGAAGATGTAAATAATACTACCAAGATTGGTTGTTACCAAGACGGACACTTTTACGCTGTAGGTAAGGAGTTTATTAGATCTGAATATATTTATGTTTATTGTAAAAGAAATTTGATAGATTCCTTGCTGGTTCGATTTGTCGCTCGTTGCTCTTTTGTACTTATGAGTTGTCTACTACTTATAACACAGCTGTACTTAGCTTGGGATTAGATGGCGCTGTATGGTCCAGGTTTATTATTGTTATTATTAAAACCAGGCGAAGAGTTCCACATCGGGTGCTCGGAGCTGTGCGAGTGCACGGGCGCGGAAGAGCGCGAGTGTGCGGCTCTGGTGTGCCCGGCGCACGTGGGCCTTGAGCTGGTGGCGCGTGGATGCGTGCGGTGGGCGCCCTCGCCGCCCGCCACACCGCCCAACTGCTGCCCGCGCGCCGCCCGCTGCCTCAGCGACGGCACCTGCCACTACAAGGGCGTCCCGTATGTATACACTTCATTATATTCCTGATCAAACCACATATAGTATATTTAAAGAAATATATAAGGATAATAACAACAAATGGTTGGTCGACATTAGCGATAGTGTATTTTAAAGTACAGTGGCGATGATGTCAAAAAATATGTCTGGTTGTAGACTCAATAACGGTCGAAATTTGATCACTAATAGGGGGTTGTACCGCTTCCACTAACGGAAGTAAAAATTAACAAATCTATAATATTGTTAACTCTATCAATAATAATATTTCATCTACTCATAAAAAATACCTTCAAATCTTTTAGTCTTAGTAGCTTCTTTAAAGTAATGTCGTCAAGAAAAATATTATACAATGAACGTAAGTTTTAATTTGATTATAAATGAATTATAATTACATTTTCATAATTTCAGAGTACCAAATTGGAGTGAAGTGCCAATAGAGCTCACTGGCTGTGAACAGCGATGCTTCTGTGAGAACGGCGAGGTGGACTGCCAGGAGGCTTGCACTCCCCTCTCACCAATTCCTCCCCAAACGCTCCGCTGTCCCCCTATGCACAGATTAGCGCCGGTTAACATTTCCGACGATGATTGCTGTAAACAATGGGGATGTGTTCCTAATGGTAAGTCTAAATACAGTAAGACAAACCATATCATTTAAAAATAATTAGTAAATGTATGAAAAGCAGATAATGTTTAAAAAATTATTTTTATATGATATTTAACTCTCATTGCATTACCAGTAAACTAAAATAAACCATTTTCATCAAAATGCTAACATTGACGATTCACAATGACACATTTGAATTTATATTATTAATAACTTTTTAATTACATTGCATGAGGGATAAGGAATGACATTAAACATTTATTTACCTTATCATATATCTTAACTATCTCACCAAATTACCGTTTGCATGAACTAATCATTTCATCATTGCTTACAGCAGGAATCACAAATGGATTTTATGACATGCCTAAAGTAGGCCAATCATCTCATAATTATGTGACGCCAGTAGCACCACTCCTACCGACAACCACATCAGTACTGCCTCAACCACAAGACGCAACTGATCCTATTGACTTCTACAAACATTTGAGTCCAGTCAAAAGCTACCCAAAAATAATCAAAACAAATTTTAATGATATCTCTAAATATTCTATAGATTCTGCAAAACATCATGGTGACAATATAACAGTTTTCACGTTAGATGATATAGATTCACCATTTAAAATGATTCCTCCTGATACATCCTTTACTAGTAGTAATAGCAATTGGGAGATGCCTCATGATGAAGCCGCAAACCCCGCAATATTCAATTCTTTTAAACTACATTCCGATATGGAACGACCTAGTATACAGTTTTCCAGAAACAATAAACCAAATTTTGTTTTATCTGATATGAAAATGCATGATATTATTCGAGAGCCAGTTAATAGACCAGTTGCTCTAAATTCATTTAGTGGTAATGGTATGGATACTAAAAGCGATTCTGGGCCAGTTAATAATCAACTTTCGCCAAATTTAGGAAACTATTTTTCACCGGCATATCAATTAACCCCACCTTTGGCAGAACCTCATAAATTAGAATCAAGTTCTAATTCTATTTCATCTAAAGTAGTAAACTCTTATTTCCAACCCATAATGCAAAATCAATCAACAAGGTACCTATTATCAAAACATTTGACAAATTCCCATACTTACGGTAATGAACATCAAGAACATTATTTCTCTAGTCCACGTGGAAAACACATAACTATACTTCGATCTAAAGATTTGAAAACCACAAATACACCAGATAATTTGAATCATATCAATCTATGGGGCCAAGACACCAAAACGCACTTGTTGAGTAAAGCGCCTAATCCGTATGAAACTGTATTGTTAAGAGCCATACCAAATATGAAAGCCGAAGTAAGAGTAAATGCAAAGTATCCACAAAATTTCGAAAAATCATATGGAACATTAGATTTAGAGCATTTATTAAATCAAATGGAAGTGGAATCAGAAGTAAATAGAAATCTTGGAAGGTCAGCGGATAAAAACAAGAATATTGTCACGTCAGGTCAGCTTTGACTGCATTAGCAATTCTCGTAGCTTACCGACTGGACTGACTCTTAACTTCTTATTGACTGACTAACCTTAAAACACTTCATCATGACTAACATTCATATTTCATTCTCATTTAATTGTGTTAAAATAATAATTCTGTCATTTTCAAATAGCTAACTTATATGTCTAGGTATATAATGTTTGGATTATCGCGTTTCTGTTTTAGAAAATATAGTTTTTTCAGAGATCGGGAAAAGTATATAAGACAAATATATATTATATAAGACAAATATTATATAATTTTTGTTAAGTGTAATGTTCTTTGTAACTACTTTCGGTTTTTTTTATTTGTGACTTATATAATGATATAGTACTTTAATAACAAAATGCGCTAAACACGTATTATTTTCAGGTAACGTCGTACCTCCTAATTTCCTATCGCAGCCCAATCTCCCATTCATTCCTACAGTTCCTCCTGCGATTCATTTCCCTCAAGACGAAATTCCTGATTATGGTCAGAACAATATCCATCATCCCTCATTACCAGGGTTACCACCTGGTGTTCCAGGGCAACCGCCTTATGGAGACGACAATAAGAAGCTAGTCGTTTTGTCCATGCAAGCGGATTCGCCTACAAGTGTAAAGATGCTATTTGGATTGCCGCCAGTACTGGTTGGCTTAAGAGGAAGTGTTGATTTACGATATACTGATCAGGCGTAAGTATATTTTGATCTAAGAAATATAACTTGAATCTAAACAATATTAAATCGATCATGAAAAGAATGAAACACTTACCAAAAGATTGTAGTTTTTAAAGTTAAATTTTTTTTCGTTAATATTTTTATTCAATTACAATGTTAGTCCCATTCAATCTTGCTCCTACTCTTATCGTCTACAAGAGTCATGATGTGTTCATTTCTTACATATCTATAAAATAGACATGAATTTATATTTAGATGGTATGGATATGCATCCACAACCAAACAACATTATACAAACTTTTTGCCAACAAGATCATAGCACAGTGTTTTTTATTTTTCAGAGATGACGACATATCTCATTGGTACTCCCAAGTATTTGCACCAACAGACGAGGTCCTTACGACTCCTCGACTAGAGTTTTCGCTAAATGGTCTGAAACCTTCTACCACATATAAAATTCGAGGAAAATTGTTCCTGCATAATTTGCCGGTAGAACCGGAAAGCGAAATTCGTGTCGTGAGGACGCTGGATTTACCTACGGTAAGCTGATATCTTTATATTTATTATTATTACCTGTAATAATAACATTTCAAAAACGTCATGGGGCAAAAACCGTGTTATTATTTAGTGTAAAAATGGTTGGATGAATTATGATATACCTTTCAATATACGGTCTAAAGAAAGTTGTAAAATGTACCGCCAAAAGTGGTAGAGGTGATATATTTATCAATTTATTTATTAATCAAATAATAAATGAAGTTGTACAAAAGCTTTATTAATTGTGGTCGTTCAAATACACGTGTACGAACTGGCACCTCTAATTGTAAATATACGGACAAAATATTGCATAAATACAAATTAAAAATCATATTCCTTCTTTACATACTTTTCTTTATATTTATTGTAATAATATATAATTATCTATATTTACGGTTTCAAAATTGTCTATAGTATCAAATCATAATTGTTTATTTTTTTTCTTTTCTTTAGCTTGTACCAGTAGAGGAGAAACGAAAGGAAATTGATAGCAGACTAACAGTGATGGAAGTTAATGACACAGCTGCCCATATGAGTTGGAGACACTTCACAGAGGAAGAATTACAATTTATCGATGGAATTCAAGTGAGGTGGGTGAATTCCAATACAATTCAATCAAATAAAACGCATATTAATGGAAATATTCCGTTGAGCTATAGTAGTTACAATTCTTTTGTCTTTAATGGTTCATTTTAATGGTTTACACATTACATAACATTGCATATCAAAACGATTATTTTAACATCCAGCTTTTGATAGTTGGCTCATTCAATAACATAGGGCATCATCCGTCGGATAAGCTAATGTTATTATAGTTGTTTGGAAATAATACCAATTTTTATGTAATGAATATATTGTAATAATATACTTTGATTCCTTATAACTACAATACTTTCGTAGCTACGTTGTTGTTACTAGAATTCTATAATCGTCTAGTTGCCATTAGAAGTTTGATGCAGGTCTGTTAAGGTGCCCAACCCATATAAAAAAGCGAAAAAAAAAACAATGATGAATTTTTATGAAAGGATATCTTAACTACGCATTTCTCTTTGCAATAAAAATGCTCTGTACTTTTTATAATTTCTTTAAGTAGTTATTTCAAAAATATATTTGCAGGTAAGTTTCCTGCCAATTTCATTCAACTGAACTAGCCGGCATAGTTAAACTAGTATTAAAAATTGAGGTAATGCTATAATAATACTTTTAAAAAAATACAGGTATCGTCCAGTTGGTACCCCAATCTACAGTATGACTGAGTTATTACATCACAGTCGGTCAACGGCCGATCTACACGACCTACGACCTGGGAGCCGGTACGAGGCATCATTGGTGCTGGTACCACCGCCCAGGGCTGTCACAGAATTACACGACCCTGGTAGAGTCGAGTTCAATACAATGCCTTATGTTGGTAAGTAATATTTACATTATTATTAAACTAGTTGATGAGTTCATTGTGTCGCGTCGCGATAGTGACCCGATCGGACATTGTCAAATGTTACACAAGATTTTTGTTTATGTTTACCAAACTTCTATGTGAAGAAATAGTCTTTTCGACGACGATGTAAACTAATCGAAAATTATACAGTTAAAATCATTGTTAAAAACTAGTTCTTGTGCGACGGTAAATAGTCTCTTTGCGACTGTAAAATCGTCGACGATCCATCATTAGTATATAAGCGACTCTTGCCTCTGTTATGTGGACCGCCGGTTTGATTGACCACCCATTTACATAAAAAACTTAAAAATTTCAGATCCATACAACTGGACGGTGATAATAGAGGCTCGAGCAGTGGGCTCCGAAGCAGCTGAGCTGACATGGCGCGGAGTGCCGTCCCCTGCAGAACGTTGGGTGAGGGTGTATCGTGCAGCACACGCATGTGGTGCACCTTCACCCAGGAAGGAGCACGATGCCTTCAGACTTGCAGCTAGGGATCTTCCCCCAGCCGTTACACTTACAGGCTTGGAACCTAATGCCAAGTAAGTGCGAAATATTGACTTGTAGAAAGGGATTTGACTGTATTTGTATCATAAAATGAATATAACCCTGGACAATAAATACAATAATTTTTTAATTGTATATTAGGTGTCGAGTATGGTTGGAGTTATTCCTGACAAATGGTAAAGTCAAGACGAGTAACGTGTTGGAGATCAATACCAAGTCACTGGACTCGCCCGAGCCCGTCGATAGTGAGTATATTTTTTTACGAAAATTGAAAGGGCAGACAAACTTATTATTATAATAATCTAAATTCACACAACGCCATCTAGTCTCAAGCTTTGTAGAACTTGTATTATGGCTATAATACAAGTTCTGCAAAGTTATAACTCATAGATATAAGATAAAAATTAAAAGTTAAATTATTTGTTTGTACTCGTATAACAATTTCAAATTAACAGCTTTTCGCTAAATGCATTTGAAAGTATATATGGTACTTACATCCAAAACTAGCTGGACTAACTTTGACGGGACTTTCACTCGCCGATTTCTAATGTTAAAAGGAGTAAGTTAGGCTACTTACATTTTAGAAATATTATTTATTTTAATAAAAAGAAAGTTAAATAAAAATTAAAGTCGCAGGTAAGAACTAGTAAAAAATATGCTTCTTTAAAAATTACACAATTATGTCCTTTCCGTGTAACAAAAGTTTCTACCTGTAGAGTTAATAATATTGTTCAATCAAATAGTAATGAAGTTGAATGTGAATTAATGATATTATTGTCAGGTAGTTATAGGTATATTAGTGATGTGTCTCGCCCATATTTTATCAACTTACTCATTATTCCACGCGAACGAAGTCCTAACAGCTAGTATGTAAATATAAGTACTGATGCGAGCAGCGCAGGACCGATCGTAGTGAAGATTTTTCAGAGAAAGTCTTTGTTCAGCGGTGGATGAACAAACATGTCATCCGAGCTGAAATGATGTTAATGATGCCTATGTTTTAGATGAAATCGAAGCGGCGGGCGTGTCGGGGAGCCGCAGCCCGCGCGGCGATTACTACGGGGCGCTGGTGGTGGTGGGCGTGGTGGCGGCGCTGGGCGCGCTCACCTCGCTCCTACTGCTACTTGTGGTCGTACGCCGCCACCGACCACGCTCCGTGCCTATCACTCGTGAGTATCACCATCATATCATTATCTTTTGTTTATATACGTGCCCATCACTCGTGAGTGCCAGCGTTTTTGACTATCATATCTCTATCGTGGAATTAATATGTTTGTATACATATACTAATGTTACAATGAGGTAAAGTTCGTATGTTTGTTTGTTCGTGGTAATCTCCGGTTCTGACGATCCCATTTTTTTAATTCTTTCGCTGCTAGAAAGGTATATTATCCTCGAGTGCTGTAGGCTATAATGCTACGATCAACAAATATAACAAAAAAAAAATACTAATTTTACTATTAATAATACTACGTGCGCTGAGTAAACGGTTAAAGCAAAAAATATAGATATGTATGATTATAAAGGCAGGGAAGGTTGAAAAAGAATCTCTTTTTGTGTATACACTATGTGAAAGATGATATAACAAGAGAGGGAGTGAATAACGAGATAACTGTGAACAGGGATGAACGGAAGAGAAAAACAAAATGCGCCGACCAAAAATAATGCGATAAGGAAGAAGCAAATGATGATCAAACAATTTTAAGTCAATTTTGTATTGCAGCCGTGCCAACTGCTCCCCGCGAGTCATCACTACCCCCATACGACAATCCAGCGTACAAATTAGAATTACAGCAGGAAACAATGGGTAATGTCTATTTAATATGTTATAATTGAAAGTTTGTACATTAAATACATACATAATATAACACCAATAAAAATAACCCAAAGATATTTAATATTAAAATGGTACAGCTGAAGTTAAATACATCTTAAACTCAAAAATGTTCGTAAAATTTTACAAATTCTTGTATTTACAGTGGCATTCTTGTACTATACATCTACTTATCTTAAGAAAAATATACTAAATTATAGCCACTGTTACTTTATAATTTAATGTAAGTTATCAAAAGGTCAGAATTATTTATTAGATATTTAACAATGATAAATAGTATTATGATATGACAAATATCAGACTATCATTACCTCTTAATGTTTTTTTTTTCTAGATCTCTGACAATTAAGCTCCCGTGGCCATACGAATGGGCTCAACGGGACTTCGGAACGCAGTGTTGACGTGCCAAATGGTCGGCCATACAATGAAATGGGTGTGTGAAACGATGCGGAACCCACGCATACTGTATATAAACAAAACACGTGAAATGTGGTAAAAATGCGTGGCAATTATGTAAATTGAGATTATTGTCTCTTTTAGTGATTATGACACAAGTTCAAATTATGTGGTACCTACTGTGGACATAATTGTCGGTTTTAGCGAATTTAAGAATGACATTCAACGGTAGACGAATGTTGAAATTAATTAGTTGTAGAAATTTCTTAATTTTTATTTTTTTTATTTTTTACTATTAATTACGTATTACGATATTTTTAATCTCTATTGAGGTTATGAAAAGCTCTCAGTGAAATTTCCAGTGATAATTTATAACCTAAATTTTTTAAGTGTTGCCATTTTATTTATTTGTCGTTAACAGAATACCTGCTTTGATGCGACTCGTTTTATCACGCGCGTTCAGGTGCGCGTATTTTTATGCGGGAAATCCAGATGGCGCTCTCAAAATTTTGTTTTTTTTATCTATTTTTTGGGTTTGCTCTTTCGTGCGTCATTGTTCGTCAGTTTCATATCAGTACATTTTCTTTTATATATTTAATTTATATTTCGCTATCTTTATTATACAAAGACACATTTAAGATTTATAAATTATCAATAACTCTATTAATTGTCTTTGCTCCATAGTTAGATCTCCGCCATTTTGAAATGATAATTAATTATTACAAAAAGGCGCTAAAACACGATTGTAGGACGCACGGATGAGTAAGCTGGCGGCGCGCGCGGGTTTTCTCGTACTCTTTGTCATTTACATGCTCATTCTTTTATACGTGAAAAAACGTGCGTTTAGAGGCAGCTAAATAGGACTCACTCACTCCGAGTAAGCTGCGCTAATGAGCAATACATCCCATATATACATACATATTTTGTGTAATTCCTTCCATCAATATACGCAACGTCGAAGATAATCTTGAATGCAAATCTTAATTAATAAGAGGTTTCATAATTAAATTCATCCGTTGAATGAGATGAATTACGAAAGTGTTCGAAGGATTGAGAATATGGCAGATTACTTACTTATCTGGAAGGGGACTTGTAATGGAGTTATAACTAAATGTTACAGTTTAAATACTATTTTTTTTATTTATTATTATTGGGTCTACTGTAAAATATATTTCTACAACTTTGTACGTATTTTGTAAATAACTCAATAATGAAATAGTGCCTAAAATAGTAATTAGATATATTTTTAATACAGAATTGTATCGTATGATATTTCTATATTTGTTGGTCTGTCAATTGTACTTACTTAACAGATTATTACGGATCACCGTTAGTGCCAATAATATTAATCGAAGTAGATTCTAAAATATATAGGACCAATTTTATAGTTTTAGAAATACACTTCCAAAATTTCATTTAAGGATAACTATTGAAGTAAATATAGCAAAGGATACTTTATTTAAACTGGTATTATAAATATGTATAAGACTTCGATTTGTACATACTGCTAATATAAATAGCTTACTGTTAACTATACCCACATATCTCTCTGTAAATTTAATGCAATGAATATTGTATTGTTAAAACTATTGTAATTATACAACTTTTATTAAGATACTTGTTTTTTTTTCTAAATTATTGGCCGCGAATATACCCGCGTGATATAAATATTTATATTATTTATATATTGTATGCATTGTATAAGCTGTAAAATTCCGTAGTTTTTGCGAAAAGAATCCATCCATCCATACTCACAAACTTTCGCATTTATATAGTAGTAAGATTATTTATGACAATCAAATTATTGACGCTATCGTAATTAATACAGTACATTTTATTACTACATATTATATTGCTACCATATCTCCACTCTGCTGAACTTACAGTCTCTGTCGCCAAGATGACGAGAAAATTGCCTGATTTTTTTTCATATTTTTATTAATAGACTTTTATTATACAAATAACTTGTTCACCTTTTCAAAATTCTCTCGTCCAATAAAGTACTCATTTTGTTGTCTTATTTGTACTACTGTCACCTACTCTCCCCTTACAACCACCCCTAGCCTCCTAGATACATTTCTCACTCTTAAAACTCACCTTTATCTTAGATAGCACAATTTATACATTTTTTTTTACTCACTGTATTTTCTAACCGCTTTCTTCTTTATTTTTTTCTTCCACTCCCCCTTCGTGTCCGTTTTTTACTTCTATTTTTTAATTTAATCACTCTTCACGACAATCTCGTACATTAGCAGAATTTGGCTCTCTAACTTCGTACTTCATAGTATTTAGATTTACGTAGGTATACATATATACCTTGTACAAACTAGTATGAGAGTGAAAATGTTCTCGTACCAAAAATTTCGTATGTGAACAAGGAGATCCTCGTACGATTAACGTCCTTGGATGGACTACGATTTAATTGTTATGCTCCGCCTTCTTTGAAGGTGCACCAATCGGAGTCCTTGGATTGTTTTTTTTTTATTATTTTTATTGATAATAATTGAATGGTGCACCCGACTACGCGTAGCGGTATGCGCTGGCGGGGTATTGACTATAAGATGAGCAGTAAGTCAGTTCATTTTACCCATCGTGATTAGTTAGTAGCAACGTTAGAAGTAACGATGGTTTCTAGGCGGAACTGCATAGAAGTGGATCTAGCATGGTACATTGCTAGCAAAGGGAACACTGGTCCCCATTACTATATAACATTACGTTATCTGTGCCATTACTAACAACCTCCTTCTCCCATCGGATTGTTAGTTGCACTCTGGTTATTTCACTTCCTAACTATCTCTTATTCCATCCCAACGGGGATGAAAATTAGGAAATTCAGAGTCAAGGTTTTATAACCTCGACTGAATTTAGAGGTTATCCCCTAGCGGTGCTTCTGACTCTACTATAATGTAAAGCTATAAAATGGCCTTTACTGTCTCATCGTTACACTAGTTCGAAAACATTTTTTTAATCTCTGTCCCAGATCATGCAACAGTCTTAAAATCTACATTAGTTTCAATTTAAATATTCTATGATAGCATTTTCATGTTTCTCATTAAACAGAATCTTCTATTTAAGAAGAGGTAAATTGGTGTTACCGTATAGTACTTTAAACTTTTACTTAGTTATAAGGTACAATTAATGAGAAAATATTTAAAGGGAAAGGAGTAACAATTACAAAAACGTCATTTAATTCAAATACAACACCAAATCACATTATATTTTCTATTATAATATTAGTACATAATATATTTTTCTTTATATGATTTCATTCCCTTACAACGACTATCCTATTCTTTTGTAGCCTACAATATCTGCTCATTACGCTATTAAATATAAAGATCTTACATAATGTTACAATGCTTGGATATAATATATAATTTTTGTATTTAATAATAAATAAATTAGACGTAAATTGCCTGATATTAAATTATATTCACTGTTGCTGGGCCCAAAGAGTCGTCTTTAAATCCATTATAATATTATTTATAAGTACTACATTTTATCTTAATTAACGACAAATTTTCTAATATATTCTTTATACTTTAATATATGTGTCACTTAATCCAACATTAAATAACACATATAGTTAAGTTTAAACAAAAAAATAGTTCAAATGAACTTCATTTAGCTGGGTTAAATTAAGTCCATTTGAAGTAAAATATAAAATAATCGAGGTAATATAAATTATATGAAAATATAGTAACAAAATATACGCGAATAATTTAATGAACGTTACTAAAAAAATACATAAACAATTATCTTATAAATTAATAGAAGTATTTGTTAAATAAATAATATATTTGATTACAAAACTTGAATATAAGTGTTTGCACCATTTTATTGATGTAATACTGAACTCTTACAAATCTTGCTCAATTTCTTACTTTCTGGGTATAAAATATTTTTCAAATTTATGATCTTCGGTAAATTTTTATATTGATATGTTCCCTAACTATGGTCGATATAATTATGATAGAGGAAATTAACAAAACATTGTTATATATAACAATCATAAATTTAGTAAATAAATAAATTATCTATGAAAATATTTGGCTATTATTTAAAAAAAAATCAATAATGCTTTATCATTAAAAATATGCTAGGATAAATTTCACAAAAGAAGGAAGTAAGTAGAAGATAAATGTTAAAAGATGTTTCTAAAAATATAAGTTCCCATTTCATTTCCTAATTCATCCATCACGTATACAATACACTATTTTACATCAATTAAAGAAAGCCGATAAGAAATTAGTATTGATTGAAATAGTGCATTGCATTTTGTGATAACGACTCGACCTACATTAAAATACTACGGAAAAAGGATAAGATTATCTCCGATCTCAAATTGTGTTTTATTAAAGATACATCTTTGCCTTCTCCATATTATTTTTATGTCTCTTCCACGCTTATAGTAATAAACATTTTCATTCGTGTTCACAATTATACTCATTCTCAATTATATCTTTCCACGAAACTGGTGAACACTTTTGTTGTCGACTGTACTCAGAACTCGAACATTTTGATATAAAAAATGTCTCTCATTTTATATGAAAATAATATAGTAACAATGTGAAGTTGCCCAACCAGCAATTCACAATTAGCTATATTGAAAGATATATTTTTTTATTTATGTAACTATAATAGTAAGTAATTCACAAGATTTTTCTTTATTTTTAATATGTATCAAAGTTAACATAATTAGAGATTACAATAGCATTGGAAGTAATCTATATATCAAAATATTTTTGCATATATTCTAAATAAATATTAGATAAGTCATTGATATATTAGTACGCTAGATAGCGCGTAGAAAGCTGTTAAGCATCTAATTGAGTAAAAATAAACAAAGTTCAAAAATATATATTGTATTACGAGTATATATAGTATATAAAATGGAAAACAATTATTGTACAATTAATGCAATGTACAAGAAAACTGCGGCTCTATCTAACATGCTCATTTCATTATGAACCTAAAAATCATTGCCCATGTCTGATCAAAATCGTCTCAGTGTAATTAGGAGTATCATATCATTACAGTGTCTATGCTAGTGTTATCCTAATAACACAATTAGCAGCATACAAAGTATATTAGAGACACGTTCAGTTCTTTCTAGGTCCACTTTACACAAAACAGATGTCGCCAGATTAAATTAATGCAAAGGTTTAGTATGGCGACATTGCCTAACTTCCCATTTCACCGTTTTAGAGAGTACATTCATACAATGATTTAACTTCCACTTTATAACGTTGAGGCATTATGTTGGTACTAGCGTAATAGAGAAGACTAGATTGCCTCCAATGTAATATCGCTGCACTTCACTCAATCGCTCGATAGACACTCGCTATACAGTGTATGTTTATAAAAACTAAACTTTACATAAAATATACTCCGGTATTATTGGTACCGTATACATAATTCTAGAAATATAAATGTCCCTTCACTTTTATTATTCTATATCAATTCGCGTTCTTCGTCGCCATGATAAGTATGTAATGTTTATTTATAGCTTCTCTAGTTATAGTAGTACATAATACCTCAATGCCTTGTAAGGTAAATAATGCAAAGACTTCACCATTTCGGTTATACTACGGTAAACAATCTATTAATTTACTTTTCTGTTCAATCATCAGATGAGTTGATGATATCGCCATCGTCACTGTAATTCATCATTATTAGATAAGTTCGATAGTGTTGCCGTATCGTGAAAATATGGAAAGAAACTAAGGACTTTAGTTCACTAGTATGACGGATAACAATATACTCATTGCCACCCGTCATCCTGTCTTTTCTATCATGATTTAATCCAGTATTACCATAATATTATATACAATTTATTTGCAATATGTTTGCTTTATTTATGGTAATAATATTATATCATAAAATGAAAATAAATAATGATGGAAGTCATATCGTGTGAGTGTACGGTAATCTTGGACGAGAGGTTCAGCTCACCATAGACAATATTTCAAAAGGTAAAGTTCTTTCCGTTCTATTACACTATTGAGAGTGGCAAATAGTGTAATAGCTAACCTTTATTATTCAACCGGAATGCCCACATGATGGAAAAAAACATGAATATCGTCCTGGATATCACAAAATATATATTACCGCCCGTGGTAACCCTAATAAGTTACTATTAAAAAGCATAATGCCTTGGTCCGTAAGGCATTATGCCTTTTAATTTCAGTATCAGTTGATAAAAATAGTATTGACATAGAAATATCGTGGTTATAAAAAAATATACTGTGATATCCAGGTTAGAAAGTTATGCATGGTTTTTGCCGAAGACTAAGGATAATACCACAGACATAGATAGAAGTAGACGGCTCATCGACATTTTTTCTACTTACTGTAATCATGCAGAAGCTATTTTATTGGCACCTTTCGAAAAAATGATGCTGTGTGAATAATGTAGTGATGCTTATGTCCGAAATCCAAATATTTTTAGATTATTTTATGTAACTGCTATAGTCTTACGGCGCACCTGATGGTAAATGGCAACATGGTCTATATACGAACAGTACCACAGTCATCGTCATATGATTTTCGTGGCACTTTTCATGAGTCACTATTTATTCAGGGATTGGCACATCTAATATATATGCATGTCTGTGGTTCATTCATTGTAACTTGATAAAGTTAGTTACTCCTATTGTTCCATAATGAACTGTATCTCTTGAGGAATAGGGTATAATGTTTAGTGAGTGAGGGCGTTGTCTTCGTGCGCCTTTTTGACTACAGCAAGTTTGGAGTGGGGGTCTTGGGCCTGTAGTTGAGCGTACGGCGGTGCTCGAGTTCCATGTAACACCAGCGACCAGCCTCGTAGCCAGCCTGATGATGAGCTGGGCCCAGACCCGCCGTTGAATCGAGCCTGAGGTTAAATATCAGAAAAAATGTATAATAGAAGTAAACTTTAGTCAAATAAACTTCATATAAGCTTTGGAATGATCTTTTTTGACTCTACAACTCTTTCGGAACAAGAAAAAAGAGAATGATACTTGAAAGTAGCTTTTTTAAACAAATGTTGTTCTAAGTAAACATACATTAACGAGGATTAGGAATGCGACTATCGACTGAAAATGTTAATATTTTTTTTAGATACTCAAGATTGAGTATCAAAAAATAACAGTACGATAATAAACTCTGTGGTAATATTCTGATATAAGGCCTCGAGTGTCTAGCATTTTAGCACACCGCTTTACTTCCGGTGGTCGCGGGTTCGATTCCTCGCAAGATATCTTTCTTGGGTACGAAATGTATACCTCCAATGTCCAAGTCCCCTGAGGGTACTCCCCCCACGTATGGGTCGTCATAAACGGCCACTTGGTGAATCCATCTCGCGTGTCGTCATCATTCGCCCGGCGGCTTAGGATCATGGACCTGAAAAAAATTGTATTTTTAGTATTAATAATATATTATTATTAATGACCTACATATGTAAATAAAAAATATTATTATCATTTTTAAAATTTATGTTCTTTTTTTTCCAATAATTTAATATTATTACAAAAAAACTTTTAACCCCGTAACAATTGCGCCTCGTTTTGAACCTTGAACAAGACTACAGAATGAATTCGAAATAATTGCCTCGCAAGACCAAAGCATAGTATTAAAAAGATGAAAAACATAATTTTTCATACATACAACATAATAAATTTAATTGTAAGTATTTATTATTTTATTGTACTGCCCAGTATGCAGATTCAGTCAATAAAGGAAACAAATGGCAAATGTTGTTATCAAAATCTATATTAATATTATAAATGCGTATCTGTGTCCCCATATCAATCTACTTATTACCTTTTCACGTATTGTGTCATTAAGATAAATATAGGATATATTTCATCTTAAAAAAATATCTCGAAGGAGGTGAAATGTGGAATAATGATGTCTACAGACAAAGTTGCGCGTAACAAACGATAGTAACAAACAACAAACGTACATAAAATATATAAAAAATATTGTAATAGAAATAGAATTAATCTTTATACAAATAAACTTGGTGTAAACACCTATGAACACTCATTTAATATTTTTGATTCTACCGTTTTTTTGTTCGTATGTAATTCAATTCGCTTTTTATAAGCTTTGTGCCTACACAAAACCTAAGGGAATTGACCGCGAAATAAAATAGTTAAAAGAGAGTAGATGACTATGCGTAAACTATTACAATTTTTCTATTTTTAGTTGTTATTGTTATATCAACTATTCAATGTTTCTATAAACGATATCAAGAAGGTACTATGTGAAATCAACAATATAATAAATTAATAACATTATCAACTAGTTCGCTTTGTATATGTTTAATAAAAATTTCAATTTCCTTTCAAACTACGAATCTTTATTCGACGTTTTTACGGAGTTTATATCCAAGGCTATTGGCATTTATTTATATATACAATTCTTGCTACATTCACTATCATTTCAATTTACAGCAGCTTCTGTCTGCACCTTTCTCCATCCCTAAATTTAATTACGTTACCTACAGCATTACGACCTCGGAGTTCTAACGGTTTAGCATACTGTAATATTTTCGATGTTTGCAGTTTCGATTCTCTCAGGTTATAATTAGCGGGTCATAATTGATCTCCGTGGATTTAAGTGTTTATATACATTGTTTAGTATCAATAGTATCGGTGGTCTAACGGTTTAGCACGCCTTACTTCCAATGGTCGCGGGTTCGACTGCTCGTTCGGCACCAACATTTGTATTCATGAGTATGCTTGTTTGTATCGGTCTGGGTGTTGTCTTTGTATAATATGTATGTATTAATAAAAACAATCTATGTATTTACATCAGTTACACCCATAGCATAAGCTTTATCTAGCTTAACCGGGGTCTAGATGGCACTGTGCGAATTGTCCTGAGTTTATTATTATTAATAGTGCAAGTTCTGCTTAGTTTAGAAGTGGTTAGTGCTGATAGAGTTAATCCGTTAACACAAAGAAATGCACTTTCACGTTTACACTATTTATTAGGTTAACATGTGTTTGTATCCTTATTTATGTAGAGTATATGTAGTATGAGTATATGTGTGTTAGCGATATGTGTGTATACATATGAAAGATTACCACACATACCTGGTGCCCATTGGGCTGGTGAGGAAGAACTCAAGGTCACCACGACGCGTGGAATTAGCGCTCACCACTGCCTGCACGTGTTCCAAATAGCGCACCTCACTGGGTGAGCCTGAACACGCCGTTGTGTCGATCTTCAGGATGATGCTGTCTTCTGATGGAATCTCACTGTTCATATTAAACAAATTCATATCTTACTAATATTACAAACGTAGAAGTTTATGAGTGTGGACGTATGTTTTTTTACTCTTTCACGCATAAAGTACTAAATGAATTTTAATATAAGTTTACAATAATATAGCGGGTGAAACCGTGTGGACAGTCCTACCATAAAAATGTAAGTGACTTATTGCTGTATAATAGTAAAGATCTATAACAAAAAGTATTATTAGTGGACTTTGTCCACATAACAGAACTCAAAACAATAATTAAACGATTGTGTACTCTAATCTCAGAAACAGCTTAACCGATTTGGATGCGGATTCTATTGTAGTAATTTCAGTTAAAATTTGTACAGATTTTAAACCGCGAGTTCTATTAGTTATTGCATATATGTTTTTTTTACTGGTAGGCAAAGGTTTTTCACCTTTCCTTTTTTCGATCGTAATGGACAAACTTGAAAGGTTTACCAAGCTAAAAATTAAAATAAAGAGTAGAAAGAACGACAGCTATATTACTATCGAGTAATATTGGCGTGAATTTTTTTATCTCATTTCAATGGTAAACATATTTACGGTTACCCTGTTTAAGCGGTAACCGTGGCCTACATGCTACATAGAATATGAAATACACGATAGATATCACGTTATCATGTAAACCCAAGATACCATTAATCCTTTGTCATTCTAGACTAGTATTAGGACTTAGATGCCATAACTCTTATCCAGTAATTTCACTGCCTTATTGCACCCTACAACCGCAACATAACTTACAAAGCAAGCTGCTTGGCGGCAGATCAAGTTAGGTCAGACTGAGGTACTCACGGAGAAGGCTTTTTATAGTTTACGTCCAGTTTAAAATTAAGCTGTTATAAATACCAAATTTTGCCAAAAAGAAGAGACATACGTGTGTGTGTTCACAGATCCAGCTTCGCAATGATACCGTGGTGGCACTGAACGCCAGTTGGCCGCGAGGGCTGTCATAGCACCCGCGTCTAATACTCCGAAACCGAACAAATGGTTGAACTCCAGCCCCACACCATTCATAGTCCAATGGAAACGACCCTTTAAAGATTTATTACAATATGAATTAAAACAAAATTAAATAATTTAAAAAATACTCTTACATAAATAGAGAAAAAAGATCTCTTAAACAATTGAAATCGTAGATAATGAATGGGTAGTAATTATGATAAAAGCAGTAGTGCAACAAAAACTTTATAAATGGTTAACTTAATATAAATTATACGTGCATTTATATCTATTATTCTAGATATTTTCGTACCTTTGCGTCATACAAAGAATTTCTTTTCGAAGTAAGTACAGTTAAATGTTGAATATCCCGCCATGTTAGATTTGGGCTGAAACAAAAACAATTATTTATTGAAATATAAACGTCTCCAGTTATCTACGCTAAGAAGCAGACACTGTACAAAGAGCAACACGCAAGTTTCTTGTTCATTCTTCTTGTAATGAGAAAGCTTTCCGAATGAGCGCTAGATTATAAAAATAAGTATTGACTATTCAAAAGCGCTTCAATATGAGTTTATTGTAATAAAGAATATTCTATTCTAATGTCGCACATAAATATATCTCACAAACTCTGATTTGGCTATGCTTCTGTAATCAATCTATACTTTCATAAATTATTTTTTATATCAATTAGTCCTGGTCCACGGGGATTCTATAATAATTATTTCTATATTAATAACCGAACAAACACAAGAACTAGCTAAACATCTAATGTCCACGCCTAATTGTTATTGATTATACAAGCCTAATTGACCACAGAAGGTGAAGCCCAACCCTTTGTACCCTTCTAATTAGAATTTGATTCCTCTTTAGATTCACTAATATAACATTCACTAATTGGTGCGAAGGAATTTCAAGTAGTCCGTTTTTATTCATTACTAGTCATCCGCGACGGCTTTGAATGTGTGTACATATATTATACATATAAACCTTTCACTTGAATTAATGTATCTATCGCTAAAAACTGCATTAAAATCCGTTACGTAATTTAAAAGATCTAAGCGAATCGACAACGAAAGCGACTTCATTTTATACTATATAAAGAAGATTTCTTCAAACGAATCTAATGCTGGCCGTAACTAGCCTTTCCAACATCTCTAGAGGAGAATGAAAGCAGAACTTGAAAACTGCATAAGGACTTATGTATCGATTAAGGGTCAACTCTTGGTTATCAAATACAATTTTTGTCTTTGTCATCTACTCGACATTCTCTAGTAGCCTTATTTCTTTGAAATTGCGACTATGCGGCAATTAACTGATCTTCGTTATCATGTTATCATCCAATTCTGTTACTTCACTAATGCAAGAAGAAGCATGATTTAATCGCTATTAAAAAACATCGAATAACTAATTTCTAATGCAATTACGCTGCGAACTACGCCAAGCTACTTACGTCATTCTTTATAAAGACAAATAGATTTTCTACACAATGGATGTTTAGAAGTGACAATGTTTGAAGACTATATTGTAAACCTCCATAATATCAACAATAGTGGTATTAAATTTATCTGGATACGTTTCAAGAAAATAAAGGTTAGATAGGTATTGTGACGCTTTGTATAGCCGAGTTATTTATATATAATACGATTTAGGCGTAAGGTACTTGTTGTATTCGTACCATTCTTACACGTGCTCCATACCGCCGCCGCATTGCGGACTAATCTTATTTTTTTATATTGAGTTATTTCTTACCAACACGTAATTCTTGTATCTGTATGTATACTTTATACTTATTTATTTTCGAATATTATACTTCACGGCATTTTCAAGGTTATTCAATGGTAAGTGACCACCGGCGCTATACATGACGCCCATAATATTGTTTACGCGTTCCCATTCTGAAAACTGAAACTAAGATCTCTTGCATTCTTACTCCATAATTTTACTGCCATATAAATTCAAGCAAATTAATTACTAAGCAAGCTGATGGCTGGCTGATATAGGTACGACAGAAGTACCTACGCATACGACATAGTACAGTTTACCTCGGAGCGAACGATAAATCAAATTCCAGAGTGTTGTAGTGTTGCGGTATATTTCACGAATAAGGTCGTGCTAGGGACACGAGTACCATTACTGAACTTACTTGCTAGAGTTGATGAGCGTGGACATAACACATTGTACAAAGTCGAAACAAACGACAGGGACGAATGGACGAACATACTTGGCGTGTAACGAGAGAGCGAACACTCCGTCAGCTTCAGGCACGGCTGCTGATGTCTCAGAGTGCATTTCTCGAACAAGTCCGTGATCGGGTCATGAGTACCATTACTGAATGTACTTACTAGAGTTGATGAGCGTGGACATAATACATTGTACACAGTTGAAACAAACGACTGAGACGAACTTACTTTACATATATCGCGAGAGTGAATACTCTGGCAGTTTCAGTAGCAGCAAGTCCCAGAGTGTTGCGGTACATTTCTCGAACAAGTCCTTGTTTGGGTCACGGGTACTATTACTAAACGTGCTCACTAGAGTTGATGGGCTTATGCGCTGGTCATACGACATTGTACAAAGGTTAAATCAAAACGAAAGAGCGGGATGAACTTACTTTGCATGTAAAGCGAGAGCGAACACTCCGGCAGCTTCAGGCGCGGCTGCTGATGTCCCAGAGTGCGTTGCGGTACACTTCCCATACAAGTCCGTGGTAGCCACACCCGTGCTCGGGTCACGAGCGCCATTACTGAACGTGCTCGCTAGTGTTGATGAGCAGGATTCGTCGTAATGTGCATTCTGCCCATCATTGATTGCGCTGAAATAATCTGAGATATAGTCATCTAGATAAAAAGCGAGGTTTGTTAGTAATGCAGTTAGTGGCCCTATGTTTGGTTATTATTAAAAGCTCAAAAAAAACAATAACGAAATTATTAATTATCCTAATAATATAAAGGTAATTTTTGTATGTTTTTTTTTTGTTTATTTGCAATGGATAAACTTTACAAGTACTTCACCGATTACATACTACTACATATATAATAATGACACATATAAAACTAATAATAGATTATTATCGAGTAATATATTCCACTCGGACATTGCCGCGGGAAACAGTTAACAAAAAATAAGAAAATCAATAGAACTTCTGGTGTTACAAACACTCGTGTATTTATTTTACTGCTTATTATCGGGTTGTATGCAAGATTATCATCATTATATTAATATACCTGTTGATGGATACAGTCCACATGGAGGCGGCATACCCGTCGCAGTTACAGTCGTCATCCTCACCACCATCGCCACTGGCCCACACGTAAATATTCCCCAGACCATTACGACCCTGGCGACAATGGTACAGTGCTTATTTAAGAAAAAATATAATATTACTAATACTAATATTACTTAATAATTAACTTAGAGTACGTAACCCAGTGGTTATGACTTAACTAGTAACTTCACTTGATTTGAAATCTAGCCACTGTAAAAAAAAATTGACAATTTATATCTCTGACAAACTGTAGTGTAATGAAAAATATAAATAAAAACAAAATTAATAACATAGAAGGTTTATAGAACAACATATTAAAGGACAAAATTAATAGCGGGAAACTCGCAACAGCGAATTTCCCGCTATTAATTACAGGATTCTCAGGGAAATATGTGCAATCAAGTACAGACCAGTCATTATATTGTTAATAACTAGCTACTCGCCCCGGCTTTGCACGAATATACATGTATCATACGTATAAACCTTCCTCTTGAATCACTCTACATATTAATAAAACCCGCTGCAAAATCCATTACGTAGTTTTAAAGATTTAAACATACGTAGGGACGGACAGACAGCGACAGCGACATTATTTTATACTATGATGCTTCTAAAATATCCCACTTGAAATTTAGAGACAGATTTTAAACAACAAAACAATACCTACTATGAAAATGCAATGATAACCAGGTTGTCTGCGAGAGATTATTACGATAAAACAGCGTAAAGTAATGCACATTTTTAAGATACTGTTTTTGTTCTTTATTTTGTTCACTAATAAATATAGATTCCACTCTCCGAATTGAATGGATATGCAATCGCTTTACTATCCTAATACTCATGCCTTGATTGATTGAGTAGACCACACAGGCACTTGCTTTAATTAGAGTATAGATACAAATGCCAATATACTCGTAGGTGGGCAATAAACTGACGGCGTAGAATTGGACCTACTACGTTCAATACATCGGATTATTGAAAATTGCCATCTACACTAGTTATTTTCTAGAGAAAATGAATATATTTTTTTGTATGTTGTATGTTACTTACCATAAAATACAACCAACTCTATTTATTACCAAACTATTATATATACATAGGTCTAGAGCCAGAAGCATTGATTGGAATAATAAACATCAAACTCAGCGCAGTATTGAAAGGCTGAAAGGTAGCTTTTGTAAAATAATTACATGTTTTTTTTATCACTATCCCTAGCGACCGATATTATTATTATATTCATTTAGCTATTTCAGTTGAGAAAAACTAACAAAACATTTAACTAGGATTTTTTTAAAGGATTGTATTAATTACAAATATGTATTCTTTATAGAAACTCTTTAAATAAGTAAAGCAATAATCTTAATAGCTACAATTGCAATAAAAATCAGTAGAATAAAAGTAAATGTAGTTTCTCTCCACGCATCACATGAATGACATAGGGAGAGTTGAGGTGGTGGGTGGGCGGATATGGCCTATTTAAAGAAACGGTTGCATTAGGCCTGTATGTGGGACACTTGCAATTATTGATCTGAGATTATGGTATGAACAAAGTATTGCCACTCAGTCTCTCACAAAGTGTTGAGTGTATGACTCTGGTATTCTCCCAATTTTATTCAAAATCCCATAACAGTCAAATTTTTAAACAAAACTCCCAATAAAAATCTGTATCTCCCAATAATAACCTATTCGACGAAGATACTCGGATTGGTCAGTTTTAGTCTGGACTTGGTTATTTTAGCCAGTAAGCTTATTTTTTACACCTATATAAAAAAACTGAAATCCGCCCATACACACACGTGTTTGCCGTTCCCGAACCGTTCCCCATCGCTTCAAAATCCCTCAAGTTTAGGGAAAATCCACCAATTTGGCATCATTGTACGAGCAGAGTCATAAAGACTTCTTACGTTCGTTAATTAATGCTTCTACACAGGGCCATAAAAGTTTATGATGTCATTCTGATACACAGTAGATTTTCAACCGACTTTCAAAACTAAGTCGACTGTATTTTAATAAAAACACTTTATTACAGAGGATTAGTAGCAAATGGTACCTATATCAGGCCAATTATAGTATTCATGATAATAAAAAAGGAGCAAAACAAACACTAAAAATAACTAAAACAAACACTCATACAATCTACAATCCCACTGATCAATTTAGTATGTGGAATTTTAAAAATTTGTTATACAATTATTCACTTTGTTTGTAGGTGAAAGTAGTCCTGTCCAGAATATTTATAGTATTCTACCTGATTAGATACATCATCATGTTCCAGCCAAGTTATTTAGATATAAACGAATATAATAAACAATAATATCGTATTGAAGCAACTAAATATTATAATGTATCGTTGAAAAAGAAAAATAGTTGATTCCTTTCAGTTGATCGGTTCAGCAGGCCGACTTCTGAAGTGATACAGCCGGGATCAAATCGAAATTGAATCTAATGGATGACATTATCTGTGGTATTTGCCCGTCTATGACATAATCATAGGTTTATTTCCTACAATATAGTTTATTTATATTTCTGTATAAATTTTTATGTAATTTTCTTTATCTACAATTCTGACTAATCTCAGGAATAGCTGAACTGATTTTGAATGCTGATTTCATTCATAAAGTATATAGAAAGTTTTCTGTTCTATTTACTATTTGAAAAGTAAATCAATCCAGAATGACAAATCTACATACATCTATACATATAAATAAAATTGGAGTGTCTGTTTGTAATAATGAAATAACCGTTTTTTACTACATGTATATGAATATAAATACGGTACATACACCAAAATATTTGTTTTTACAATTTTTGTCTGCCTGTTTGTTCCGGCTTATCTCTGAAATGGCAGGACCGATTGACGGGAATTTTTTTAGGCAGGTACTTGTTGTAATAAGGAGAATATTTATATTATAGAAAAATAACGTTATATTCCACGCAGACGAAGTCGCGGGAACAGCTAGTATATATACATAAAGACTGCGTAATTTAATACTAGTATTTATAGCACAATATAATATAAATAAGTCCATCTCTATTTACCCTCCAGAAATAATTGTAATGCTTATATAAAAATTTACGACATATAAGTTATATTGCTATTTTTGTTTTAGGCATCATATTTTTCAAATGTGAAGGTACTTTTCCTAAGCTATGTTTCAAAATATAGCAAGAAATTCTAATGAGAGTTCTAAAAAGCTATCAAAAGTTTGCAAACGAGTTAGCAACTTTCATTTTGACATAACAAGAGAAAATAATTGGGAAATATATTTACGTGGTCTGTTACTTTGAAACTTGTCTTTAACTTATCACATGACAAGTCAGGGTTTCAAAATCCCCATATTAATAATATTATAAAGTATGTGAGTGTCAATGAACGGATGGAAGTTTATTTGTATTTTTCGCAAAAGTACTAAATAGATTTTAATTAAACTTTACAATAACAAAGTTTCACGCAAGTAAAACCGCGGGCTTAACTAATATAAAAATATCCAGAGAAGCATACTGACATACAATTGTTAGGTTTCTTAAATTGTTTTATCTCATTTTGTATGAAACAATGGCAATCTGCATTATAATTTTATCCAGCAATCTTGATTCTCCCATCGACACTTAAACTGTTTATATTTTTTTAATATCGAGTGGATTAACACGCCAATATTAAATTATTTTTGATACTATATTTACGTAGTATAATAATGAAGTCGCTCCGGCTATCTGTTCGCTTTATCTTTTGAACTACGCAACGGATATCACTTCAGTTTTTTAGCAATAGCAAGAGGAAGACGTGTATGTATAATACATACACCTGCGAAAATGGGCAGGTAGCAAGTACTTTATAAAACTAAATTATAACTGTCAACAAACATCACCAAACAAACGTTATGTGTTAAGTTTAACGATATTTATCTCATGACATCACAAAGTGATTATGGATACTTTACGTTTGACATCGAAAGACGACCGATCGATCGTAACAAACGAATGCTCTATCTTATAAAGAAAGTTACTTTGTCTAACATTTTACTTTCGACATCATTAGAGCGATAGCGATTGTAGAAATGGAACAGCTTAGTAACGATTGTCACTTGTTTCGACTTGTTTTGTTCATCTGTTATTGTTTTTATGGATCATAACGGAATGGTACATCCGCCTGCGCTAAAGGTTTTGGTTATCATACCATCACGACATATTCACCAGGAATTTATCACGATGGTTCCCAGGCGGAACTGTGTGGAGGACAAACCGACATGATACATTGGTAGTAATAGGGTCAACAGTCGACTATTACAATCAACCCCCTTCTCCCATTTTAAATAATTTCTTCCTTGTGTGTTGACAGAAGTGAGAGCATGGGACCCCAATTGCGCGGGTCCCGTAGCATTGCTACTCATGTTACTAGGCTAAACCGGCACTGAGTTGGTGTGTATTTAGTGTTATTATTACACAATAACAGTAAGTAAAGTATAACACACGACCTTTAGAAGGCTGCCCCATTACACAAACCAAAATAGCCAAAGTAATTAAACTGGAATATAAAATAACATAAAGTTTGCGTTAATTTTATATTCACGTAGAGATAATTCAATTTCAGCGGACTGTCGGTTTTATCAGTACATTCGCAATTCTAATTAAGTTTTAAAGTTAGTTACTTCAGTCTACATGTATATATTATACAGTCAGTTCGATGTAATATCTAATATTTAGAATATGTTTATTCTAAGTAATTAATCCTACCTATATGAGATGTTTATTTATATTTTTCTTATAATGAAATAAATTATGGAGAGAAATCACTGAAAACATACACAATTTATATTTAAGTTTGAAAACTTAAATATAAATTGTGTATGTCACTCTATATTATTATCATTTTGAATCGTGGAATTTTATGAGATTTATTAGATCCTAAGCTAAAAAGAAACTTAAGGTACTCTTATATCTTTTAAATTTCGATTCATGTTGTTTATCATTATGTTATCTATGGTAATAGTAAATATGTAATACATCTCATAGATGGCCCTTTGTAGAACGGAAATAGAGGGTAGTCATAACAATTATACAACTTAAGAATA